CACAGCTGAAACCGCAAACTAGCACATCAAAAGGCAACTCGATACACTCACAAAATCACACTGAATCACTTAGCAAACCTGTCAACAAGTCGCCCTCCAGTGGTGCTCACTCATCATCATCATCATCATCAGCACACCGCAGCTCTAAGCCATCAATGACAATCAGCAGTGAGCAGCCGTCCGCCAAAACACTATCACCATCACCCCCTGAAAATGGGTCATCGAATACGGTCCACAAATCAACTGCCGCCGCCGCCAATGTTCTCCGCGCTGATCGGTTCAAAAGTAGTGAGAGTGCCAAGGAGGGACAGTTACTTTTAGAGGAAAGTAAGCGAAAAACTTCCACCACATCATCAGCCAGCACTAGCAAAAGCAGCAGCAGCCGGGCGTCGGGGCGCCACTACGACCCAATCAGTCCGGCAAGTCCTGCGTCTCCTTCCTCCTCCTCCTCCTCCTCCTCCTCCTCATCATCATCAGAGAACGAGGACTGCAAAGAGGAGAATGACAATGAAAACGGCAACAACAACCACCCCCACAACCAAAGCAGCTGGTCACTCTTCTCCTCCTCCTCCGTTTTCACCCTGTCAACCACGTCCTCCTCGGTGTCCACCTCCCTGTCGCCCTCTTCCTCTCAGTCGCCGCTTCCCAACTCCGGAGGCCAAACGGTGCCCACTCGATGCGACTACGTCAACGTCATTGTCAGCTGCAAAGCTGCTGCTGATGGCACCTCATCTGCAGCTGCTGAGGCCAACGCTGAGTGCAAAAAAAGCAAACGCAAATCGACCAAACCAACAGCAGCAACAGCAGCAGCAGATAATCAGGCAGATAATGAAAATGCCGGTGGCCTAGTGACGCTGAGCATTGAGCGCATCTTCACCGACTCCTACCTGGTAGAGGCGTGGGAGAAGCTGCAGTACATCGATCTCTTCCTCTACTCGCCCCACCGGAGCACGCCAGCCCAGGAGGACAGCACTGAAGAGGAGCCTCCCCAGAAGCACCTGGAGAACTTCATTCCGGGCCACCGAATACTGCTCTCCGCCTACTCCGACTACATTCGCGCCTTTGTGGAGGCCTACCCGGAGCCGGTCAAGTTTGTGGAGCAGTTGCAGTCTTTTTTAAATGGCGTCATCATTCGCAAACAAGGGTCGCAATCATCCTCACCCGCACTTGCTCTAAAAACGAATCATCCCCATCTTGAGGGGCACCAAAATGCGAAACAGTTGAGCTTAAAGGCACTTGGTATGTCATCGATACCGGTGATTGTTTTCGCAGTGCCACTGGACGACCTGCACGACCTGGTCAAGTTGATGTATCGCGGCGAGGTGAAGGTGGACAAGTGTCGCATTGGTAGTTTAAGGAAAAGCGCTTCGCAGTTAAAGGTTTGCCAACATTTGCAATGCTTTTGATTTCTATAAATTGACATTTTTCGTTCTTTTTGCCTGCAGATGAGCTCTATTACCATTGTGGAACTGAATAAGCAACTACTCACAATTGACTCCAGTTTTAGTTTAGACAACAGTAGAAAACACCTTTCTAAAGCAAAAGGTGATGCAGATAGTTTTGCCAGCAACCATCTGTCATCTGCTGAAGGAGAAGAAGAAGGGGAAATTGCCGATACAAACAACAACACTCAAAACGGCAGCACCTTTCAGGGCAAAAGAAACGACCAGTTTGCTGACACGCCGACGCAAAAACTGCAGAATTCGTGTTCCGATCTCGAATCAAACAACAGTTTAAGGATTTCCAGTCAGGACAATGACGACCACGGCGAAGATAGTAGTAAACCTGAAGCAGCGGAATCAGACACACAAATCTTTACTACAAGTCCTCAGGTGATTCAGGCGGAGAAGGACACAGAAACGGCGTCCGACAAACAGATTAAAGAAGAGGAAGAGAATGAAACGGAAGCCAAAGGTGAAAGTGTGCCGGTGATCAAACAGCTGACCAGCAAACATCCCTTCAAGCGCAGCCTGGCGGCCTTTTTACGCGAGCACGGCACCTCGTCGCCGCCACTGTCAATTCCTAAGCGTGCTCAGCACACTCATGCTGAGGATCCGGCGGACACTATGGCGGTGCTTGAAAAGTCACCCAATGTTCGACCACTGTTCTCCTTATCACAGAGCAGCGAACACCTACCATCAACTGCTCTACAAGCGCAACAGCAACCAAATCAGCCACACCCCAACCTTTTAAACGTGCCAAAACATGCTCTACTGCAGCTAGGCAAGCACGCCTTCCCGCTGTTCTCTCGATCGCAGTCCCTCAATGAGCAGGACCACCAGCAGCTCCAGCTGCGACAGGAGGCGCAGGCGCAAGCGCAGCGCCTTCAATTTCAGCAGCACCAACAGCAGGCGCAGGTGCAGGCGCAGATTGAGGCCTTTCGAGTGGCCATGCAAAAGATCAGTTCTCAACCGCCAACCACCACCACCACAACAGCAGCAGCAACCGACCACCAGCAGCAGCAGCCTCAATCACCGCTGATAAACGCCCTCAAGCGGAAGGAAACGCCGCCCATGCCGCCCACGCCTTCCTCCAGCGGCTACAGCTCGGCGGCGGCGATGCTCAGTCCCTTTCAGCACAGCTTCAACCACGCCTCTAGTGGACTGCTGCTGCCGCCCGCCAGCCTCCTCACGCCGCCCATCGACTCGCCCTCGATTATGGAGAGTCAGCTGGTCAAGTCGCTGCTGCCTCCTCCTCAGAACGCCTCCTCCTCCTCCTCTAAGCCCTTTCTCTTTCCCTCCCTGCCGACGCCCATTTCCGCAACGACGCCCGGTGGTGCTCTATCATCGCCTTTTCTCTTTTCTGCTGCTGCCTCTGCTGCAAAGAGCCCCTTTGACACTGGTCCACCGGCATTTCCAACCTCGCCTCAGTTTGCCTTTCCAAAACTTTCCAACACCGGTGCTGGAGTCTCCTTTCAGCGGCAGTTTTCTGCGCCTGCAAACCTACAGTCCTCACTTTTCAGCACTCACCACCACCACCACCAGCCACACGACCTTAGTCCGCTCATCTTCGACGCTCAAAATGCTCTAAATCACCAGATGAATCAGGTTAATAACGGCAGTGCCAACGCTGCAGCAGCAACAGCACTGGCATCTCACAGCTCCGAGCTAGCTAAAAGTGGCAGCCGTCGTGGTCGTAAGCCGATCATCAGCCAAAGCTATTGCCCCTCGGCGCCGAACAGCGAGCCGAACAGCCCGGACATTGGCGTGATAATGTCTGATTTGGGACTTTTTGGTGGCGGAGGCGGCGGTTCTGGCAGCGTCATCAGCGGTGGCTCACTTTCGGAGCGCTCCGACAGTCCGGGAGCAGAAGGAAAATTTGGTGGAGCGGAGAGTCACCAGTGCGGCGCCAACGGGTGGAAGGTGACGCCGGGCAGCGGGGCCAATTGCCGAAAGCGCTGCCAGAACCTGTACCACGCGGCCAAATACCGCGACCGCCGTCGGCAGCGAATGGAGCAGCTGTACGGGGAGAAGGACGCCCTGGAACGGGCCCAGGGCGGCCACATGGCAAAGATCAACTCGCTGAAGCAGCAGATTGTCAACCTGATCAGCCAGCGGACGGTGAGAGTGTCGCCCGGCGGCGGCGGCTCGAAGACCTACCACTGTCCGGTGTGCGGCGCCGTCTTCACCGCCACTGACGCCATTCGGGCGCACCTCTTCAGTGTGCACTACCACGAGGTGGTGGCCACCAACACTGGCAGGCAGTCGCCCGGGGGAACAGCTGCAGCCACGGCCACTGGCCTGTCCGGGATTACTCTCGGGGCACCCTCCTTTGCCGCCATTGCCACTGCCCAGAACGCCGACCCCTCTGCTGATATTGCCCAGCAGATTTGCTCACTCACCAAGGACTGGCTGCTGAGAAGTCAGGTGGTTGCCAGTTTGGAGCAGTTGCAGCAGAGTTCTACACTACAACAACAGCATCAACAGCAGCAGCAGCAGCAACAGGCAGAACAGATAGCAAAAAGTGTGTCTGGGCTGACCATCAAAAGCCCAACTCCGGCTCATTTTGAGCGATCACTGTCCACTGGCGGCGGTCCTTTAAGCGCCTTGCCTATGGTTCCTTTCAATTAAATCGCTAGATGTGTGCAAAAGAACAACAATCGCATTTAGAATGTTTTGTATAAAATTCCATTATTTTTTACTTTTTAGCAAAATTCAAATGGATTTGTTGAGCCACAACGCACAAAAAAATATTCAGAGCTTTTATGCAATTTTTTACACACATTTTTGTTCTTGATCATCATACAAAAACCAGTCATAATTACTCTAACTTCTTATTACTTTTTGTTTTTTGTTTTAACCAATTTTATTTCCTAACGTACTTTACATAGTTTTAACATTGTTTTCATTTTTAAATTGTAATACAGTTCTTAAAAATGTTAAATTTTTAACTTTTTGTTATTCTTATTTAGTTGACTTAACTAATTAAACTTAAGCAAATTAATCTTATCTTTACAACAAAAATTTTTAAATTTGTGTTTAGCACAACTGGTTTAAAATTGTTTTATGCAAAGTTTTATGTTTTACTTTTTTCAATTTATTTGGCTTTTATTTAAATAAAAAATTTTTGTTTGTAACACTGAGCATTATAATGCAAAATAAACAAATGAACAATTTTTGATCAAATATATTTTTTTTGGATGGTTACCCTGGTTTAAAAATGAAAAACATTTTTTGATAACTAGTGAAAAGGATATCAAATGTTATCCGTCAATTAGCGCTATCACCATGATTTTTGGCATGTCCAAAGGGCGCTTTTATTACAGTTGTATGCAGACAGCTGTTTGTGAGTACATCCCAATGACATTGAGTCACAATTTACAATGAGTAGGTCGCATGATTGCCTGTCGCTTGCATGAGTGGAAGTGTGCGTGTGTATCTTTGCTTAAAAGCAAACACTTTCAATTGCATCAAGTTTAGTTGCTGAAAAAAAGCTCATCAGCTTGACCAATTTGCATTTTAGCTTATTTGCTGTTTTAACGACTTTTGTTTTTGTAAACGATGGCCGATTCAACCACTGCCGATCCTAACAACAACACCGAGCAACCGAAGAAGCTGTTTCCCAATGGCGCACCGCCTGATGTGATTGACGATAAAATGCAAGAAGCGCTGAAAAACTTGACAGTCGACGATCTGGTTCGAGGCACCACTCCAAAGGACATTGAAGAACGTTGTCTGTCTCTCTGTCAGGCCTACATTGGCGGAACCTGGTCTCAGGCCAAGTCAACGGAGGACGTTGTTGTGAAGCGAATTTCCGGTGGGCTGACCAATCAGCTGTATCACGTTCAGCTGAAGGACACTCTGCCAAAGGTGGCCAACACCATTTACCCTGATGAGCCAACTGATGTGGCCATCAAACTGTACCAGGCAAAGCACATGAAGAACTACGAAGACGGCGATTCAGAGCGGCTCACAGACATTATTGTTTTGACGATTATTTCTCAAGTTGGAATCGGTCCAAAGGTGTACGGAATCTTCAATGATGGAGTCATTTTGGCGTATCACAAAGTAAGATTGACCAGATGTTTAAAGGATTTGTGCTAAAATTTGACTATTTTGCAGCATGAGCAATTCCGTCCTAAGCACCAGAAAGACGCCAAACTGCTCAAGGAGCTGGCTCAGTTGCTTGCCAAGATTCACCATTTGAACGTTCCCATTCGCAAAAACAACAACTGGCTTCTCACTGAAATGAGAAACATGCTCAATGCTGGCTACGCAAACACTGACGTCAAGGGTCTTGTTGAAGAGCTTGACTTAAAGCAGTTCAAAAACAAGGATTTGGCTGATGAGTTTGAAGAGTTTGAAGTGTTGATCAAAAACCTGAAAACGCCCATTGTTTTTTGTCACAATGACTTCCGAGGCAGCAACATTCTCGTAACAGAGCCTAATCAAAAGATTCTACTTTGTGATCTAGAGTACTCCAGTTACGGTGCTCGTGGTTTTGATATGGCAGTTTTTTTGACCGAGTGGGAAAGAGAGTTGTTTGATTTTGATTCATTTACCATGCCTGAAACAGAAGTCATTGAAAACTTTGTAAAGTTGTACATTGAGGAGTGCAACGAAATTGTTCCCGGCTATGCTGAAAAGCCAGAAAATCAACTAACCACTGTGGTCAATGAAGCTAAAATCTTCTTTTTAGCCAACTTTATGTTTTTTCTAGTTTTTATGTTTAAGCAAACTGAATCGCTAATTCCTCAGATTCCCTATGACGCAAAAAACAAAATGGTAATTCTGATGTTTTAAGTTTCTTATACTAATATAGTTTTTTGTTACAGAAATACATTGACAAGTACTACGCAAATTATCTAAACATCAAGAAACGACTTATTGATGACAAAATCATTTAAATGTAATTTGTTAAACGAATTTTAATATTTACAACACATAACTTTGTATTTCCATATTACAACAAAAACATAAAAATATGCAAAAAATAAAAATTTGTTGATTACGCTAATTAAATAAATGATAAAAAGTTTATTACCGGTACGATAGTTTCCGTTTCAAAATCATTTGTAACACTTTTTTACAATTTATTTACGTTTTTTAATTAATAACTTTTACAAATTAATTGAATTATCTTTTTAATCACTAAATGCAGCATGTGAGGTTAATTTTATTAGGTTTATTAGTTAAAACACAGTATTATGAGATAAAGTTTATGCTATAAAAAGGTCTACTTGTTTAGAATTATAATAGCAATATTTGAACTACAAAATGCTTTTTGCCTTGTTGGTTCTCCCCTTGCTGGCCAGCAGTGCCAACTGTGCCTGGCATTTAGTTTGGTCTGATGAGTTTAACGGCAGCAAGTTGAATGACGCCAACTGGGCCTATGAAACAGGCGGAAACGGATGGGGTAAATATAATGTCAAAATAAAACCTAGCACAAAGTTTGCTAAATATAACTGTTTTTTTCTATTCAGGCAACAATGAGCTGGAGTTCTACACTGCCCACCGCCATGAGAATGTGCGCGTAGAGCACGGCCACCTGGTGATTGACGCCCGTGTGGAGAACCACCAGGGCAAGCACTTCACCAGTGGACGCATCCACACCAAACACGCCTGGACATATGGTCGTTTTGAGGCGAGCATCAGCTGTCCCAGTGGGCACAACCTCTGGCCGGCCTTCTGGATGATGCCCCAGGGCAGCAAGTACGGCGCCTGGGCTGCCTCTGGGGAGATTGACATCATGGAGCTGCGCGGTGATAAGCCACATGAGATCATGGGAACGATTCACTACGGCGGAACGGCGCCCAACAACATCTACCACGGCTCGGGGGAGAAGCGCTATCCACAGGACTTTAGCACTGGCTTCCACCACTTTGCCGTGGAGTGGGCTCCCCATGAGATCAAGTGGTTCGTCGACGGGCACCACTACCACACCGAGAACATCAACCGGAACATGTGGAGCGGCAAGGGACACAACCCCTACCACAAGAACGGAGAGCCCTTTGATCAGCCCTTTCACATTATCTTCAATCTGGCCGTTGGGGGTAATTTCTTTGGCCATGGGCCGTATGTCACTCCGGAGCAGGCAAAACACTGGCGAAAGCACACAATGGAGGTAGACTATGTTCGTGTCTTTCACTGGAAGTAGAAGCTAAATCTGTTAAACAGTTTAAAAACTAAAAATTTTTTTGGTAATAGTTTTATTTAACTGGCTATTAAATTGAATTTGTTAATTTTTTTAAGTTAGGAAAGCACTACAAAGTAATAATTTTGTTGTTTTTTATTTGTATTTACATGTCATTGTTTTTTGCCAAATATGAAAACTTGACAAATAGGTCAGTTAAATTAAAGCAATGAATTGCATAACAACCGTTAGTACATTTCTGTTTATTGACCAGAAAAAACTCGTTTTCTGTCATTTGGTGCAAATACTTAAAAAATCATTTTGTACATGCAAATTTGGAAAAAGAACACCTGTTTTTAAGTGCCAAAAACTATTATCAATTTTTAATTGTTTAAAATTTACCAACTTTTAACTTTATAAAACTATTTAAATGTGAACAAAATATTAAGAATAATGAACAGAGCTAAACTAATTGAACAAAAATGATTGTCATTTTTTTAATTGTTGCAATTGCTGGATCGTTTATCAATTTGACCAGTGCCACCATTGGTGAGCCAGTAGTCATTGCTGCCCCTCAACAAGTGCACATTTCTTACGGTCAACACAACGATCAAATTTGGGTCACCTGGTTAACTTTTGAAAACTCTACCGCCTACAAACTAAAGCCAACAGTTCAGTATGGTTTTGATCAAGCAAAACTGGAGTCAGTAGTGCATGGACACGCAACTCATTTCATGAATGGCAACCGGACTGCATTTGTTCATCGAGTTTTGCTTTCAAAGTTAAAACACGACACTGTTTATTGCATGTTTCTATTTAAATGCTGTTTTTAAACTTTTATGATTAATTGTGTTAATTACTAGATTATCGTTGCGGCACTGAAGAATTTGGATGGACTAAAGTGTTTGGCTTTAAAACGCGTCCTCAAGATGAAGAGCACTGGAAACCTAAACTGGCTATTTACGGTGANTGGAGTCAGTAGTGCATGGACACGCAACTCATTTCATGAATGGCAACCGGACTGCATTTGTTCATCGAGTTTTGCTTTCAAAATTAAAACACGACACTGTTTATTGCATGTTTCTATTTAAATGCTGTTTTTAAACTTTTATGATTAATTGTGTTAATTACTAGATTATCGTTGCGGCACTGAAGAATTTGGATGGACTAAAGTGTTTGGCTTTAAAACGCGTCCTCAAGATGAAGAGCACTGGAAACCTAAACTGGCTATTTACGGTGATTTAGGCATCATCAATGGAGTGTCCATTGACTTGTAAGTGCAATTGTATTTGNATTTAGGCATCATCAATGGAGTGTCCATTGACTTGTAAGTGCAATTGTATTTGGTGTTTTTAAACAGTTTTTAAAGTTAACTTTTTTTTATAAAACTAGCATCAAATACCAAGTCGCCAAAGGGGCGTACGATGCCATTTTTCATGTAGGCGATATAGCGTACAACCTTCCTGATATAAATGGTGAAATTGGTGATGAGTTTATGAAAGAAATGGAGCCAGCTATGGCACAGGTGCCTTATCAAGTTGCACCTGGAAACCATGAACATCCAAAGTTTGTATTAATATATTCAATTATGCTTAATTGTTATTAATACGATTGTTTTTAGCAATTTCTCTCAATACGTTTCCCGCTTTACCATGATCGACCACAACACAGGCGAAGTGAACAATCATTTTTATAGTTTTAATATGGGACCAATGCACGTCATATCGTACAGTTCTGAGTTCTACTTCTACACCGTATACGGTTCGGCACAAATTGCCAATCAGTATCGCTGGCTTGAGGAAGATCTAAAAGAGGCTACTAAACCTGAGAATCGCCAAAAAAGACCTTGGATAGTGGCAGCAGCCCATCGACCCATGTACTGCTCCAACGATGAAACAGAGTGCAAACAGCTTGAAAGTTTGGTAAACACAAAACAAAATTAAAAATTTGTTTAATTCAAAACTAACTTTTATTAATTTTGAAGACACGCAAAGGACTTCATCATCAATACGGACTGGAGGATTTGTTTTACAAATACGGAGTTGACATCATCATTGGCGCCCATGAACATGTAAGTGGTTAACTAAAAAATATTGTGTTAACACTGATGTAAAACCTAATTTGTTTGTCAGTCTTACGAACGCTTGTATCCGGTATACAATCGAAAAGTTAACAACGGCAGTATTGACGAGCCGTACAAAAACCCCAAAGCACCAATTCATTTTGTAACCGGATCAGCTGGCTGTGAAGAAGAAATTGACGCATTTAGAAAACAACCAAGTGATTGGAGCGCTAAAAGAATACCGGATTACGGCATTACTGAGTTTCAAGTTCTTAACAAAACGCACATTCACCTCAAGCAGTTATCAACTGTCAAGGTAATACTCATCTATCATTAATTTTATTTTTTAAATTAACTTCTCATTATTTAACAAATAGAATGGCGCCGTTGTTGATGAGATTGTTTTTATTAAGGAGAAACATGGACCAGAAGCGTGGTTGTAAAAAATTTTATTAAAAAATACAGTTTGAACAAATAATAAAAATATCACAAAATTTTTACAAACATAACCTAATGTTGTAAAATATTGTTTTAAATTTTTGGTTTGTGGTATTTAAAT